CGAGCTTCTATCGATGTTATGGTATTGGTGTCGATTGCAGTAGACTGATAAACCTTTTAAAAGCCATTAGGTATAGTTTGATTGGCAGATTGGACCAGACATCCTTGATGACTCTGTCCAAGCCCTCTTTGGAGTTCCAAGCATTTTAAGAGCGACATTCTCTCGTCCGAGTAAATTTTTCAGGAGCATTTTTTTGTCGTTACTGTCATTGATCAGTTGCAAATCGCCACAAGGATCCTACGTGGGTGCGAGATGAACCGCGGGTTGATTGTGTCGTCGCGATTATAAGAACAAAGGCGGTATCCTACTGGAGAATCAAAACCGATCGTGAATTGTTCTACCCTAATTGAGCCATTTATTAATGGCAACTAATTAAAATACGTTTATGCTAACGGTACTTTAGAAGTCAATAGGTTACGATCAATGTTGTGTACCACTGGATTAAGTCAAGCATATCGTTTTGGATATCAGAGTTATTTCATGACGCACAGTCAATAATTCGAAAAATTTTTAGGTTGGGTGGGCAACGTTTCGTTTTCATTCTCCTGAAGATTCGATTGAACTGGCATCCAATCCTGGAATTCACTCATAGTTCCGGTATTTTCTTTGGAATTCTTTTCTAAACAAGTTTGAATGAGCTTGTACGTCAAAGTATTGATAAAACATAGTAGTTTTCAATTGAACAACAATCAAAGCAAATTGATTAGGTGTCAGTTAGTGTGTTATACACACAATTGAAGTAAAAACAGTTTATCCTTCCAATTAATGTTAACGAGGTGTTGTTGCTTTTATGCCAAAAAGGTAAGTCAGGCTCCTGCGTCGACAGTTGATAAAATATGATTCGAAGAAAACACTAGCTGATGCTCTGTTGATGATTACAGCGTTAGAATTAAGAAAAAAATACAAAAAGAGAGAAAGAAAACTTTGAAGGACTCAGTTCTTTGATGGGTAAGGCGCAGCAGGAGAAAAAAAGGTAGATTCGCTACAAGATCTGAAAATATTTGGAGAAAATTCCACCGCTGAAATGCCATTACCAAAAAGATGCTTGGAATCATTGTTGGAATTAATCTGATGGGCAAGGAATGAAATTATTCCCATCTCATGAGATGAAAACATATTAGATAAAAATTTTTCTTCGACTTGCACGAAAATGTCAGTCAAATGTCTAAAAAAATCAGATGCCGGCCAAATACTATTGAACGGTATGGAGCCTAAATTATGACTTGAGACGTGTAGGGAGCGAGACGGATGTAATAACATAATATGTTTTCATAGATGAAACATATTAGACAATAATTTTTATTCGACTTGCATGAAAACGTCAGTCAAATATCTACAAAAATCAGATGCCCGCCATAAACCATTGAACGGCATGGAGCCTGAATTATCACTTGAGGCGTGTAGGGAGCTAGACGGATGTATGTGTGAAATTAAAATTTTTTCCAGTATTGCATTGACATTTTGCTTACTGACTTCCAGTTCCGTGGCTCATTAAAAAGTAGATGATTTTATAACTAATACAAATATTGATGTTAAGGCGATGTAAGAAACCGATCTCTAACAGGTTTAGGACATGACAGGAGGTGTAGGGATCTTTATCAAGGGTGTATCTTTCACTGGAGAGCATCACACTCAAAAATCATTACTTTAATTTTTGCAAACAGAAGACACACTTCATCGAAGTGGCTCCTTTCATAGCACTTACTGATTGTCTGTAGTTGATCAAATCTCAAGTACTATAATCTGCACCAATGGTAAAATGATATTTTTGAGCCTTCTGCACGTTGCTCGTGAAATAAGCCACATATTAACCTCATGAAGGGGTCAGTCAGCTACTCATCTTGCCGGGCGACAAAGCTCAACGTGCATTAAACATCATGAAGTCTGTGATTTATGCCGCTGGATTACTCAGTTATGCCGCAGTAAGTAACTCCCATGGAGGCAACACTGGGCAGTTATCAGGCATTGTCAAAAAGGACTGGATTTTAATTAATTTTACACGTTTCCACTGTTGTGTTGTGGTTTACAGTTGTTGAGATCACCGGTGTCTCACTTTGATATTGAGAATCAATCAAATATGAGCTCCGAAACTAATTAAGAAATAACCTCTGGCGACTCACACAAGTCTTGTGTGGATAAACTGCGAGATTCATAGACATTCATGTAATCATTATTCATATTTGGATTTTTTCTCAGTATTTGAACACTTTGTTTTACTTTATAGCACAAGTGCCGACAGATAATAAGTAGGATTCGTCTCGAATGAAGTACGCCATTTTCCTCTATCGGTTTCTTTCATAGTGTCCTAACACTGTGCATTGTACGTGTGATGAAGGAAAAAAAAGGTTATAAACGTGAGCGGTTTGAAGAGTATAACCATGCGCCTAAACGAAAGTCACAGAACTAGGTTGGATGAATCTTCATCATTTTTCCACAATTTTCCGAAGCAGTTTTTTGGCTCGGGTAAGAAGCATCACTCGAAGGGTCAACTTTCTTTTCTTTTCATTTTAGTGTTCTGCCAACATTGGCGCTCGGTTCGGTTACGTAGAGAGTCAGTACTATAAACTGGATGAACTGTTCTTCGGTTCCAGTTAATAGGAGACCACAGCGATAAAGGTCCTCTGGTAATCTAAAAACCTAATCCTAATTAGGGATGAATTAAAAAAAGTCTGAAGGAAATTTGCCTGCAAATCATAATAGACAAAAACGACCTTCGTGATTGTGCCTCTATTCAACGGAAACTGCTGACACCTATGCTGCTTTTTGTGCCTTCTGTGACCAAAAGCCTGTTTTAAGCGCCTACAGGAGGCTTCTTTATGGGTTTTTGACATTCTAGAAAAAGCACAGTTTTAAAATTTTTTCCATTTCAGCTCATCAAATTTTATACAAAGTAGGTGGGACATGCAATAGAACCAGATGGCATGTTGAAACTCAAACTTCTGTAAAGTGAGCTACACTTCTTGTATTCCTGAGGCTCAAATGACGTATACAGTTAACAGAAGGAATAGTTATGCTCTCATCAGTTACGCAATCTACTTCCGGGCTTGTACGCAGAATATAAATCTCACTTGTTATTGGCATGCACCCGCCGGTCTGAGTGATTTGTTTCTTGTTTAAAATTGAAGTCATTTTCTTTGTCATTAAATCCTGAATAAGGGAAATTCTTTTATGGAAAGGCGTTAACTTCCCCGAACCCTTTCGAAATTAGTGGAAACTTTCCTTTCATTTCATTACGCTTCAAACAAGGGATAAACACTCAACCTATATTGAAGTTGACCTTGGAATAATCGAGGAAGAACTTTTTGGTGAAAAAATGACAAAAGTATGCCAAGAATGAATCAACGCTTGTTCACAATCAACGTCTGTCATTTCCATGACCTTACAGTGATGTGTGGAAGAATGCTAAAATGGTCTCACCAATCAACTGAAATTTTTGTCCTGCCCGAGGCTCTTTTGTTTAGTGATAGATGTTATCACTGATATGATCATACTATGCATAAAATCCATTCTAACCGAGTATTGTGAAAACTGCACTGGCCGGGAATCAAACCCGGGGCTCCCACGTGGCTGGCGAGAATTCTACCACTGAACCACCAGTGCTTCTAACGGGTGCTTCTAACGAGTGCTTCTAGGAGACTGACAAACCAAATCAAACAAATTGAACAGTTAACAGTGAGGTGAAGAGTAAAATAAGTGCTTTGCTAAAGTTGATGTCACCGAATACAAAACGTGTGCTCAGTCTATATTTTTGTAACCCGTAACTTTTCATGGGCAGAGGACCTAAATTCTTTTAGGTTTCTTTTCTGCAGTTGCTAAAATTACACCTCACCTGCAAGGAACATTGCCGCCTTTGCTTAGGAACAGTTTATTGGAGAAAGTGACAAAAGTATGTCATGCGTGAAGCAACGCTTCTTCACAATCAAGGTCTGTCATTTTTATGACCTGGCAGTGACGGTGTCACTGCCACTGGAAAGGTGTGTGGAAATTCAGATGCATGGCTGACTGTTTCATGCTTGGCATCTTGTCGTGATCAATAAACTCTGGAACAATCCCTCGTAATGAATACAGAGAAAATAAAAAGAAACTTCAACGACTGTAGGTCCAGTCTGAATTATGTCAATAAATTGTTTCTATTAGGGTTTAAAAATCGATCGCAAGGTTCATGTATAGGGTGGTTCTCTTAACAACTGCGCAAGCCAAATGAACTACACAATTGATAACTATCTTTCAGTTTATAAGCAGGACGTGATTTATAAAACGTAAGTGACCCGATAATCCCCTGACGTTCGCCTTTCATTAAAATTTGTGGCCACTATTTCTAGAATGAATCGTTTTCGCGTTTTAATTTGGTGCAAGAGAATATGTAGATGTTCTCTTGTTTTGTATTAATCGATCCACTCAAGACAGGCTTGAATTCACTTATATGGTCGGCTTGGAGAAAGGAAGAAGAAATAGGAAATTGGAGGACATGTCACAACAAATGTACCAATAATAGGAGGACACGTCACAACAAATGTACCAATAATAGGAGGACACGTCACAACAAATGTACCAATAATAGGAGGACATATCACAACAAATGTATCAATAATAGGAGGACATGTCGCAACAAATGTACCAATAATATTCCGAAAAAAAAGGAATATAGGATTTTGGAAAAACACTGCGAGGTAAAATTTGAAATAGGTGCTAATATTTCAGAAGGCCGGGCCACTTAGAAACGATCTCAACATTCAAAAGAAATCTTATCCAACCTAAGGCTCTTTCATTTAGTGATAAACGTTATCAATGATATGATCGATTTATAAAAAAAAAGAAATTCACAGTCACAGTACGTCAAGAAATTTGGACACCATTATTCTGTTTTCTCGTCCTTCGAAATAGATAAAGTGAGCATTGTACCTTCAAAAGCCGGGAGTCGAACCTGGGCCTCCCGCGTGGCAGGCCAGAATTCTACCACTGAACCACCAGTGCCTTTTACACACCAAACAGCAGGCACACAGCAGATACATTTTTATTCATAAATCCTTTGACACGAACGGTAAAGTTGTACAACGTAACTCAAGCCATATCTACATGTAATTACAAGCATACGGCTTGAAGTGCTCTCAGACCAAATCAAACGATATGGTTCTAAGGTCTCTAACAAAAAGTGGCTGCAACGCGGAAGAAAGAAAAGAAAATTAACTGACTTCAAATAATTTCGTCCTGAAGACTGATCCATGGATTTATGATAGATCTAGACAACGAAAACCTAATCCAGGCAGACAGATCTGAGACAGTTGGTAAATGTGAACTGCACTCAACAATAAGAACTGAATTATTTTTTGTCCTCTTTTACTATCGCCTTTAAGTTTTCACACACACCCACACAAATCCGTTTTTAGAGATAAATCAACCGTGATTTCAACTCATAGGTCTTGCGATCTTAGCAGAATATGTTTCACTCAGCCTGTCAACGACTCCCTCAATAATTGAGCCTGCAGTAAGTCAGATATTTTTTCGTGAAGCCATGCACAGATGCAATTCCTCAATGTCTTGTTGCACGCATGTTTTGAATATTTAGCGACAGGATAATTGCTATTCATCTGTGAGTTATGATAACGAATGAGCGATTTATAGAAGAAAATGAACCCCTAATGCGAAGTCCGCTATCCATTACTACTGCTCTGTCTCCTCACGTAAGGTTTAGATTCCATATTATTGCGTTGCACAGCAGATTATTATTGAAATGTATGATCATTTTCCTTGCACGTGTAATCTGTTGTTTGTTCCTTCATCTTTAGAAACCTAGACAGAAAAATTAAAGATAACAGTGTAATTAGGTTAAATTGAATTGAATCCTAAAAAAACATTGCAGAATATGAATAACAACTTTAACAGGGGCACGCGCCTGGTTGAGAATCTGCACCAAGGTACGCAAGGGTATCCTTATATTCCATTGATTCATTTTGTTTTGAAAGACAACTGAAACTGTGATGGGGTAAATTCACGACGTGTAAGACACCTCATAAACTGATCCATAAGAGAAACGATCTATTTAAATGATGATGTAAACCGAAAGTTTGGCGCAAACGGAGCTTTTTAAGGATCTTGAATTGTTACTTTTTTTTTCTAGGTTACTAGCTAGGGGACCAAATATCCTCCCCCTCTTCTCACAGACTGAATTTAGGCACAGCTTTCGCCATATATAATTAGTAGCTCGCATGTATTGTTTGACTTGCTAATGATTCCTGAGCGGCTCAATTGATCGAGCTTCGAAGCGCGGAATCCGAAGTGCTGATGAAATCAGATTTCTTTCCTGTCCCACATGCACGAAACAAATGCTTAGCAATTTCTTCATTGGACGACCAGGATGAAAAGTTACTATATTGAAATCTTTTTATCCAAACTGTTCTTGCTTCAAGCCTTAAAAGACGTTTGATTTTAGCTTATTTTATTTTCTGCACTCAACTGTATCAACAGGTTACTAAGATGAACTGATGGCGTGAGCCATGGTATGGGGCTATGTTTTGGTTACAAATTTCCTTTAGTACTCGTTGTAATTATAGTAATAATTATTTTTTCATATGTGGCACTGATGTCGAAGAGGTTGCTTTTTCAAAGCGTACCGCCTCACATCACGCGAGTAGCATGTCAGTAATTATTTTGATAAACTGATGTCTGGAGAAAGAAAACCGGAAAATAAAGCAATTAAACGCTGTGTAATGCATCACAGAACAACAAGCCCGGAACTTTCAGAAGACTATTTTCTAAAGCTCAAGATTTTCAATGAAAATTTTAGTGTTAATACTAACAACCCGTCCATGAATTACTTTTCAAACTACAGCAGGGACGTTAAACTGAAAATTGTCCTGAAAAACCAACCGAAGAGATCATTCCATCTTGAAAACGCCGAAGAGATCATTCCATCTTGAAAACGTTATCTCAATGGTTCGGAATAATCTGTGATCTTCTGAACAGACGAGTTCTATTAAAAGAACATTAACAGTTATAAAATAGATCTCTTTGCGTCATTCACAGCAGTATACGGTATCCTGAATAGCCCTAGCAACCACTTCAATTGATGAAAAGCTATCAGCTCTCAGAGTAAAAAGTGCCATGCTGAGATTTTGGTGTAATGAATATCGATCCAATTGCTTCGCAACGACATTGTGCTTAAAGTTTTCTGATGGGAAAATGCTTTTGACGAACGATTATTTGATGATTGTCAAGAGAGAGAAAGGGTGCGGGAACTGAAGGGAGACATTTGTGGCTAAGGAAGAAGAGTCAAAGTCGTGGCGTTTTTGTAGCCAGTGAAGAGAGAAAACCGTGCTACTCATCAGAGATAACGGCATTCACACACAAACACTCACCGAATGAAGAAAAATCGAAAAACGAGAAAAATCAAAATGAAAGAGCGGCGCGAGATAAACTCATCCAAAGTAAACGACGAGGACACGTTTGACTACATTGAACAAAACTATACGTTACGGTGGGTGTGCACTAAACGTGTAGAGGAAAGATTCCACAAATGCAACAAACAGTTATGGAAAAGATTTGTATGATCATAACAATCCATGATCGCTGCTATGTAATTCATTAAAAAGCATTATCATAAAGCTGTTTAATTTAAAAAAGCTAAAAACAACACACCTTATCCGATTTAAGGATTAGTGACAACATCAGAGACTTTGTTTATCAATATAGTTCTCCCATGATCCAGCAACATTTGTTATATTCATTTTATTACAAACTCTGTGTTGTACACGATTAACCTCGCGTCGATTTCATTGGACAGCAGCTTGCTCACAGCCTCCCAAGGGATTTATAAGCACATACATACTTTCCTTCCCTTCAGAAAACCATGTTTTAGCTCTTTAGAAAATTACATGTCGGTGTTTATTCATCACATGCAGGTAACAAACCTTGATGTCAGCTTAATCACACCTTTTCTCGTTTTGTGGTGAGACATCCCCACCAGATTATGATCTGTGCTATCATTATTGTTTTGCTGAAGTAACAAAATGAAATAATCAAGGGTCTGAATGACTGCCAATTAGCTCCATTCATTATTCCCAGATTGGCAGGTTTTTTCAACCAACTGGTTGATACTAAACATATAGTTTTCAGAAATCCCCGCACGATTTCCTTAATCAAATAATCCATTGCTGCACACAGAGTTCTTAATTGTTGAAATAATGTTTATGGGGTGTCTTCGCCTATTGGTTCGCCTATTGGTTTTGAGAACTGAATATTGACCTGTTTTACCTTTAGCTCAAGCTGTGAGGATTATAGTAACCACAAGAAGGTCTTAGCGTGTTAAAAGATGATAATTTTTTTAAACTTCTTTGGATTTTTTCCTGGCTAATATTAGAATATTTGTCAGCATTGTGTAAGACACTGTCCTAATCGTTACTTAGGCCAAATGTTATTATTTTGAAGTACCAAGAATGGAAAACGTTGAGAATAGGTGACTACCCATGATGGCGTGACTAAAGGAAAAACACAGTCGTAAAGCCTCGTTTATAATAAGGAAAACGAGAATTTAGTCCAAACATAGACACTGAGTCATTATCTCATCCTACGAAAAGGAAAAATTAACAAATTTGAACCGAAGGGGCTTGGAGCTTTTCAGCTCACCGGAAACATGATATGACGCTTTTGTGATTATCCCGTCTGAAACGTTCCCTATTTTGGTCAATTCAAAGACAGTGAATCATAATGTCTGAATAATGGCAACAATAACAAAAGTAGTTGCACATTTTTTTCACCAAAAACCTAAACTTAGTTTCGTTTGGAGACTAGACAGCGAACAAAAAAAAGGCTGAAATGTTTAAGGACCCACAGGTATCCTTTAAGCCACAGGACATAAACAAAAGATTTCCGATCGTTAATGACATGAAAAGAGCGATAAGCTATCGAAAAGCCGACGATTGCATGCCATACTGTTTAGTACATCAACATTAACCCTGCTGTACATTTTGTACAACAGAGTATAAAGACTTTGATAATCACTTACCGCCTTAAGTAGGCTCAAACAAAATGTACACACTCTTGATGCTGAAGATGGTGAAATGGCTCCATTGTGTTCAGCTGCCTTTGCTACATTCGGACACTGAGTTCCACTCACCAACATTGATCCAAGATGCGCAATGTAGCTTGAAGCCAAGCGCAATGTTTCTATTTTTGAAAGTTTTCTGTCAGAAGGTTCAGTAGGTATAAGAACTCGTAATGCATTGAATGCAGAATTGACACTGTGGGTTCTACTTCGTTCGCGAGCGTTTGCAGCTTGTCGTTGTTTACTAAGGCCCGTCAGACGAGGTCTTCTCCTTTTTCGTTTGTTGATCTTTGAAGTTGAGGTGTTCTCATCATCGGACTCACGCTTGGGCGAGGAGTCATATTCATCTGAGTCCAACGCGTCCAAGTCGCTGAGTTTTGCTTTCTGTTTCCTCTTGCGTGTTCCCTCCATTTAAAATAAAATTCAAGTCAATGTAATGAATTTAAACAAAGGATCATCCTTCTAAACCGTCTTATGGAGTTCTGGAAGTTTACAACAAAGAAGTTAGCATAGGTTTCCGCTAAGTAGTAGAAACTAAGGCAAGTCGAAATTTAAATAATCACCCATCAGGAGGGTTTGTATTTTAATACACGGCGGTCTTTTTGACGTACCACGGGAAATCGGAGCCGCTAATCGCTTAACCAATCAAAAGGCATTGATCAGTTTCATTCGAGTCTCTAAACAAGATTGAAAGACAACATCCCAGCCTGTTGACGAGATAATTACTTTATGGACCTTAAAGGCCACTTGCAACGTTTTAAGGAATTTGCCATTAATTTTAGTCAGAACTCAACGGTTAGAAACAGTTTAGGGAAATCAGATCGATTCCAGAGACGGTGAGGTGTTGAAGACACCTTAACGGAGGACTGCAGATGAAAATCATCAAATAAGCTCACCAGTTTCAAAACAAGATCAGCTACCGACATCATGTGATATTTTCATCTTTGGCGATATATTCCGTAAACTAACTTGGCTACTATCAACGAATAATTGAAGCGAGGAGGAGTTTAAGGAATTAATAGGGAATCACAAACAAAGGGAGGACTTTAGTAATGGTGTTCAGCTTTCATTTGTTTAATTGAACTAATTAACTGAAGTGACTTAAACAACAGACGAGTTGTTAGCAGCACTTCAGACTAAAACTCAACTTGATGCGCTTCCCACTTGATATAAACTATCACCTGTGATCCTTGAAATTCACATTCACTTGACAAGAGGAGAGCACTGCGACAATATTTCATAATTTTTGTCGTTATTAAATCAAGGACTTCGGAGGATGATAGTGAAACAGATAAAAATCACGCAATTTCGTGGTATCATTGTCAAAGTAGTACGCATGCTTTTTCCTCATACCATGTTCTTCTTCGCAGACATTTCATTTCAAGTTACATTTTTTATATCCTTGGACTCCTGAAAACCTGTACGCCACTAAATTGATCGATGAACCAGACAAAAACAATCCATGGGCACGCAAACGAATCAAGCTTATACCATAAGTATATTCTAACATGAAATGGGAGACGTACTGGTAACTGTAATAAACGAGTGACCTCTGAAATATTATTCATATCCGTTGAAAATTGAATTACTCGTTGCTAAGCCGCTTGACTCAAGTACCCACTTGAGTTTGCTATCCTAACGATCTCAAATGCTACTCGTCTGAGAACAGAACATTTAAAAGCTCTACAATGGTCATCTCGCGACACTACATCAGTTATTAGCGTGAACTACCGCAGCGTAAAGTCATGTCCTTTTTAAAGCAAGCAGCTTCGCACATTCGCCTAATCAGTCACGCTTAAATTCAGTATTTGCCGACTTATTTCAATAAACAGTGTATATATTAAATTTACATACCTTTCTGATACACGCAACGCTTTCCATTCACGTCGCAAATCACAAATCCGCGATTGAAGCTTAAGAGGACTTAGATACTGAGATTGCAACCACTGCGGCTCGGAAGATGGTCAGAAAGTCAATAGATACAAAGTATCGCCTACCTAAAATGATGAAAACCTTAAAAATGAGGAAAGATATGAAGGACTGAACGTTGGTTTGGCGACTCACCTTGTTCACAGACGAACTCTTCAAATGCAACCGGATATGCGGCTTCCACATAAAATGACGTCATTGTAGAATAAGCCGCAGAACAAGTTAATAATCAACAGCCCCAGTGCCACCCGAGCGGAGGGACAGGCTCAAGGGGTATCATCGTTTCAGCCTGGACAAGGAGCCCATCACCCTGATGGACCCGATGAGCTTCTTTCGGGCCACATACAAACTTAAGCTATGTTCCTTGAATCAGTGATTTCCTTTAAGAGAGGTCAAAATCATAACCAGAAGGTCAAAATCATAACCAGAAGTTCAAAACCTATTGTTAAATTTCAGAATTGCCTTGTCGTAACACAATGTAATCAGTTAGTTCCCCTACCACTTCAATTGTTCCATAAACAGTAAAATACAATACAATATTTTATTGACCTTGACCTGGGGGCTTTTCAAGGAAAATACAATAGAAAAACAAACTGAAAAAAATCTTTAAAAAAATCAAATTGGATAGAATATTTACAGCGAAGAGAATGGGTAGACCTTCTACCGTTCCCGACATCATGTACCTACAGTTCTGTAAAACTATATTGCTGATGATAAAACTTAGATATGATATTTTTCGGTCAGTGGCTGATCCTTGTACAAGACAAACCTATATCATTCAACTCACAGACCTTTGCAACAATGGGCAGTCAATTTCATATTCCGGTTTTTATCACGTCATAGTCATGTCCACTCACAAAGATAGATCATCAACTAAAATGATTTTTTTCCTCTAAATATACTCCGATTGTTCGAGTATGTTATATTTGCCGTCTCCCTACAATATCCACGACGCCCACAGAACGACTTCTTCGATTATTTACTTTCGTTAAAGCCAAACCAAGCAACAGACAAGAAGCACCATACAGGTTGTTCTGCTTCCTACATTGAAGAGACTCACAGAAACCTGTGGCAACGTCATCAATCACGCAGCTGAACGTCATCAACTTGCGAACCACACCATGTAATGGTTAACTTACTACTACTTTCAACGACTGGCTCAGGAGGGTGTGTCACTGACTTAGAACAGACCTCCCTCGACAGAAAGTTAACAACCCACGCTAGCACGCAAACGACTTATTCACGACATTTACACCACAAACGAACCGAAGAAAACGACCTTCACAGACGAAGTGAAACCGGCCAATCAGAACCTACTTACGCTACTTGAGTCCCTCAGCCATGACATTATGGTAAAACCGATCAAATCAATTCACACAAACCGGATCTATAACACTCGACTGACAGCTCTCTTCCCACAACTCTGATGCTGAATTCTGTTGGGGTTATCGAAACGTCAGTACTCTCAACCTCACGATAAAACTATGTCATCAAATATTAGTCTTGGGTTGAAACCGCCTACTGTATCAAGTTGCAGTTAGCTGTTACAGTTGTAACATTTTAATAAATGCAGGTTTAGCATTCCGCCATTCCATTGTCTCTTTTTACATTGTCTCTGAAACAGGTTTTAGTTTGATTTTGTCGTATTGAACATTCTTTTTGGTTCAAATCTACTCAGACATGTTTTATTTGTTTTTTCAGCACTTTCAAATAAATCTGCGATGTTCCATCTTCGATTTCGTTCGTCGTAAACCCAGCTGGAACTCAGTTAAATGATTTCATTTTAAACAAGATACTTTGGATATTTGGTCTCTTTTGTTTCATTGTAATTTAAACAAAGTGCATAACTTCTACCGGCCACCCATTTCTTCTACAAAATCATCTTGTGGATTTACTAAAACATGAGGTCGTTCTTTAGTTTTCTCACCTGCTCATTATTTTGCTCTTTTTACAAGTCATAATATTGACACTGATACAGAGGTGCTCAAATGCCATTTCTTATTTTGTTTGAAGTTGACGGAGCGAATCTTTTTTAATGAGAAGAAAAAAGTTAATTGCACACCCTTGCTGTTCTTTTCAACAAAATGTAAACATTAGGAACAACGAAAACAAGTTCTAGAAAAATCCATCTAACATTTTTAACGCTTAAACTAAGTGCAGGTGCTCAACTTAATCAATTACATACTTATAGCCACATGCACGAAAATTCTGATTTTTTTTCCCTGCAGATAAAACTTATAAGCAGTACTTAATTTGTGCTTAAAATTAGATCGAAAAGTTGTTTATCATTTCAGCACTGCCACGCTGTGTTTTATAGCTCATTGTGTTTTTCAGAAGACGTTGATTTTGACTTACCTATTATTTCAGAAACTCGGGATAAGTTTCCTAATGATTTGACATGAGAGTTAAAAATCAAACGATAACCTAAGCATTCTTAAAATTTGATAAAGAGAAAAGACCTTTGATGAATCTTATCACAATGAAAATCGCGTATTTTGTTTACTGTCGTATTGTTTTAAGAGTACTATCTTATTAATTAGATAACATTTTCTTTTATTTCATGATTATAATCTACCAGCTATTTGTTGGGTGTCAGTTGAATACTTTCAGTTGATAATGGAGAATTGACTGCAGAACAGTTGAGCAGTAAAGAGCTTCCGGTGGCCTTCGCATGATTCATCGAAGGGTTGACGGGCGAAAAATCACAGCTTCTACTAAGTTGATTTACCTTAATGAACATTGTTAGCTTTTCGATTTTCCACCGACACAAGTCGATGGTATTTGAAGATAGAGTTCAGTTTGAAAATAACTCCTTAACAAACCTCTCAGTGATGTAAAGCAGTCGCTTTTTTCTTTCCATATGAAAAGGGGATTTTAAGTGATAGGAATGTGGAATTCATGATTACATAAGCTATTTCCTTCCAAAATTCTTTATACGCCCACATAAATGATATCAATTCTTTAATTGTTTGAATATACAAATAATTTAAGTTAAATTAATTAATTTGATTGTAAAAAAATCCCACAGAAGCGGAATGTGGTCAGGCAAAAATTTTTATGTAACATTGCTCAATTTTTGAGAATGCATGTGGAGTTCCTGTTTGGACAATTTTCTAACCTTGATCAGTATGTGAATTAGCTCCAGCTGAGCCTCTGAATACGACTGAGCCAAAACACAACCTGCAAGATAAAAAGACTCTAGCCAAAGTCAAATTTTTATTTTTGTGACGTGATCCGTTTTAATGAAGGAATGTTTGTTTTTCGAAACTAGGGGAGTTTTTGATATGATCTGTGTCGTAAAATGATTGAACTATGCAGAGAAAAGTAATATGGATACAGTTAATGACGAACTCTTCATATCTGCTCATGTAACACAAAGTGGAATACAATGTAATTTCACGCATCACAAAAACACGTCGCTCGGACAAAAATCCAAGGTTCCCTCAAACTCCACAGGGGACTCACTACTGACGTACGATATTCTAAAACATAGAACTGATGATACCTTTGTGCAATTACAAAAGACTCAAAAGGCATGACGGCGCGTGGCTTCACTCCTTTGGTCAAATATGTTGATATAATACGATCGTGTCAGTCGATAAACAAGTTATACACTGCCACATCCGCGATATGGACGTCGCACCCATTGGAAAAGTTATTCCGCAGCACAAGAAGAAACCCCGGCGACGTGGACCACGTCTTACAGGCGTCAGCAAGCAGCGCCGGGTGGCGAATGCACGTGAAAGACGCCGGGTTGAAATTTTAAACATGAATATCCAGATATTACGACATATGATTCCTCTTCCGCCGCAGGAGAAGGAACCTTCAAAGACTGAAGTGATATGGCTAGCTGTAGATTACATCACAGAGCTCACCAAAATGTTGGATTCTGCTGATCAGTGGCAGGCTGAGCTTGAAATGTTCGATATTGACTCTTTGGATAGCTTAGATGACAGCCCTCTGTTTAATTTGGAAGGTTGGTGTTACCGGCTGAAAGAAATGGGAGGGAATGAGAGTTGTAGGCTGTTAGGTTTTAGGGTGTGTATGCAAATCAGTTGGAATGGCATAATCCTTCTAAGTAAGCCAGTGACTTTTTAAATTGACGTTAAAAGAACAATCCATTTTTAAAGGCCTTGTTAATGACTTTAAGGTTTTACCTCGTGAACGGTAATCTTCGTCTAGTTTCACAAACTATTAAGAGAACCCCTGGCTCCAGGTCATGCTTTTTCAGGAGAAATAACTCAACCTTAGGTAATATACCGACATCAGACATCATGCATAATGTTTCCCATTTAAATTAGATCCCAATTAGTGAACTGGAGCCGAAAAAGCTTAGTTTGCGGGCGAAGGAGCTAAAGGTTGTCCAAACAGTATTTATTCCGCCGTCACCTTTATGCATTTTGTCTGACAGGATCAGTACTCTCCTATTGTGCACCGTAAGGTGCAACTTATCAGATTGTTTTTTTGGGCTGATAACAAATTGATTCTTTTCTTGTATGAAATTATGGTGTATTGAGTGTTCTCTAGTGAGTAAATATCTGCAAGAAATAGCGTGGACAAAATCAATTTTGCCGAAGTCGGCATTTTGGCTTCCCCCTGAGAGAGGCGAACCGTGTCGTGAAGTAATCACATAGCGACATATCGTAATCATTGATCTTGCCTAGTGTTAATTAGTAGATCTTTAAAATTTCTTGTTGCGAGCAGATAAACTTAACGAAGCCACAATCTCCTAGACTGAGGCTTTTGTCGAACTCCGGTGATTCATTGTCTCCCAATGTTTATCAATTTTTATGATTGATGAGCTGACATTGAACTCTCCTTTTCTTTCAGATTGTGCGCCATTGTCTTTTTGAGTCGTACGCCTTTCCAAAATAACGATGCGTCCAAACTTGATCACTGATGGGACTGATTTTCTATTTCATAGCAAGAATTTTAGTGAATGTTTGTGACACAGAACGTTTTATCCTCACAATGAGGAATCACTGGGTGCAAATTAATGTAATGTCAATTAATTACTTCGGTCAAGTTGTTGTAAATTTATGCATGGCATGAATTTCGAGGGCACATAGGCAATACTTTATTTACTTACTTAATAGATATTGCTGTTAGAATTACACAGTTTGACTGGTACCGATATGCTAAAAATATTGAAATATTTCTGCTTGATATTCAAGTACAAAAATCATTGATATTTGGGTGTTACCCAGTAATATGTTTGCGCAGGCGCATTATTGTCAAATAAAAATATAGATCTAAGAGTTAGCGTGGGTGCCTTGTTTTTACTGAAGAATTCTGCATTCAAACTTGCTCTAAAATTATTTTTGCACCTTTACATGAAAGGAAAGCCAAAATGAACCTCATTCTGTCGGCGAAACTGGCTAATAAAAGTTGGAAAACTTGCGCAATGTTTTTGTGTCAAGGAACGCAAGGTTATCGGCTACAATCATATAGTTATTGAACGTTACCCCTGAAAACACGCCCCTAACAAGCGAAATATCGCTCGAAATAACTCCCAATTAACATATTGTTTATTAGAGCCATGAAATACCTATTCTCATTGAAAATCACCAAGCCGTTGTGTTTGGGTTCTTGATAATTGTAAGCTTCTCTGTTTGAGGCCAAAACCTCATTAAATATCGACTTATAATATCTCCGTTCCTTTCGTTTATGTCATGAACCGGTTTTAGCTAGTGTTGTGATCGTCACAAGTGAGGCTTCCTAAGGACATAGTTAAGATCAATGAATTATTTCTTGGGTGAGCTTACGGTTTGTCTCAAACACTCAAATTCAAATTAACTTCAAACAATTCAACTTCTTGTAATCTGGTAGATAAATTGATGTGTTCGTTGACATGTTTTTGTTTACTGTCAGGTAAATTTGATTTAGATTATAAACAATACTGAACTGATGCCCTGTGGAGTGTTATAGGTAACTTTCATTAAACGGCATTTGGATCATAATAGCCGCCGAACACCTCTCTGCACCTCTTTCGATCTTTTAGTTTTGCATTAACGTTGCATCACAGGCATCAGTTGTGACCCGGAGAAAAACAATTCAGGAAAAATGTGAGATTGTGCAGGACAGCAACAATTTTGATCCTGAATTTTGGAAAAGGAAAAATTGAGAATCTGTGTTGTAGGGAAAGAAATTTTGTTGGGTCACATAAGCTGTAAAACTATTTAAATTATGTAAAGAAGCCTTGAGTGGTGAACTGTTTAGATAACTGTTTGTATGCTCACACAGCTAACAATAGCGAAGTTTTCGTTAAACAAAAGTTGATTTATATAATCATAGCCTTGACGACAAAACCTTCAATTTACATGCGATAGGATCAAGGGTTATGAGCGTAGAGCTTCCGGCGTTTTGTGTTCAATGTTTTCAATCCAACAGAAAGCTTCAAACAAGCGGAACGGATTTACGAAGGTAACTTCATCCCAATTTCTCTGCCATGCCTCACTTTTTATCGATTCTTCTTTTAGAGGAAATTGACCGGTTGCCTTGATTCATGCGAGGAAATTTAGGTAATCTGAAAAATGGAAAGTGTTGATAAAGGACCAGAATCCATGCCTCAAAAGAAAAGACCAACGAGCGTAAGTAAACAGGGAAGGCTTGCAAACGCACGCGAAAGGCAACGAGCGCCCACTTTAAATAACAACATCACGATTTAACGTCGTTTAATTCCTCTGCCTCCAGAAGAGAAAGAACCTTCTAAAACAGAGATAATTTGGATGGCGGCCTCTTACTTTGGTCGATTGATGTTGTTATTAGAGGAAGAGGGAACTCAGACACAAGCAGCGCAGAAGAATGATGCATAGCGTGTGTATGATATTAAATTGATACCACAACTTTACATGAGATAATCAAAAAGTCCATGATTAATATGTCATAATATGAAAATTTTCATGTCAGTCATTTTTTTAATGCGCAATTACTAAGATTATGATAAGTAACCAAGTTATTTTATTTTTGACAGGGAGTGTATTTAGACGATCGATCATGAGTTTTTTCCTTTTTGACCTGCAGGCATTAGGGTAGGAATTTGTACCATTCGTAATTAATAAGACTGAAACACTTGGATGGAATCATGAAAACCTCGTCATCTGTAGATTCCTCACATTCAATCGATCATGTTAGCCAAGCAAATGAAGGCCTCGGATAACAGAAGAAATGAGAGATTAGCAAGTGAAATTTCCGCTTGATCATAATGAGTACAGATGCCAAAATTTTTTGCTATCATTTGCAAAAGGGAATTCTTTGAACAGAAGTACAGAAGCGATGTTAAGCCTTTGCAAAAAGTGGAATTGATAAAAGGAAGTGGACAAATTTATCAAGAAAAGACTATTCCACAAGGGTAAAAAAAACTACAAAAGTTGGTCAAAATTCTATTACACTTGAACTGTTTATAGCGGAAAATATTTTTCAACTATGCCGGTCCTTTTTTATTATATCACCTCCCTCAGAGTTTTTAAATGCTGTATTTCTCAGCTGAATGTCTCGAATGAAGCCCCCTACAGAAAATCTTTTAATCAAGGTTACAACGGTACATATAAATATTTACGACACAAGTGTGCCTTTGTGCTAAACATCGTTGGTTATAGAGCTTTTGAGCTCAGAAGTATTTTTTACCTATCAGTTCAGTGTGTGAAAGTTCAGAAGTAGTTTTTAATAGGAATAATTATTGTTTTCACACGCTTGTTTACTGTTTTGATATTAAATTTAAAAGGGCTGATTTAAAAGTTGGAATTTAGAAACAAAGTTTATGCTCGCACGTTAGATTGTGGTTATTTTGTGCAATGTATACTAGGAAGAACGTCCAGCCAACGGGTCAACGATTAGATCAGCTTTCCAACCGCAGTAGTTGAGAATCTTGTCAGTGTTTCTAAGTCGGTATTTAGTGTTTTGTTTGTTGTGGCTGAAACCGCAAATTCTCTCGGTCAGACCTAACAATCAGCGCAACTGGATATTTTGAAACAACTCCCTTTCATCAAGCCGCACAAATTAACATCTCGAAACTAAATTTCTTCGCTGACTGACCTCAGGCAAAGGGAATTCAATGCATTGTTGCGATGATCTTATTAGATTACTTTGCCAAAAAAAAGATGCTCTAATGTACAAAGTTTTATTTCCAAAGGATGTAAACCGGGCTTTCTATCAAGAGGGCTATGAAAATCGAGGTTAGAGTCTTACAACCTTCTTGGTTAAGATATCCATTCAAATTCTCCTATGCCGTACACATCACTTTCCTCCAAGCTTGTAAAGGGAATTTTCTGAGCGAACCACGGTAGTTCTCTCCTAATTTGTTATTTCTTACTTTTAATTGACTCTTATCTGAATTAACACACTGTATTCTACAGGAAAACTCGGATACTGTATTACAAAGAGATTGAGGCGTGGGCTTGGAAACAAAACAAAGCATGAGTACACACGTCCAATGCCTATGACTACAAATAAACTCTCTTGGTAATCAATCTATGTTAGCGAATATTCAGCCATAATTTATGAAAATGTTTGCATAAACTTCGGGAAGTTTAAAGTGCAGTGACTGAAGTCGTATTGTGATACGATCAAGTTTATGAAACTCTTCGGGAACGTTCGAAATTGGATTACGGCAATTGTATCGACAGAGGGGAGGGAAAGGGAGACGGAAAGGTGGCCTATTCCGCGAAAAAAGAGACGCCAGGCTTAGACATAAAACAAATGTATTAAAACTAACATGAGGAAAAACCCCACTCCTTAGATTAATTTTGATTTTCAAGTTATTGTTCTGTGATGTCTGGAAATAATATTATTTCACTTTCTCACGGGTAAGACTATTTTTGGGTCCTAGTTTGCTTTGCCGGAATATACCACAGAAGAACATATATTTTCCCTTGATTAAAGAAACCCACCAAAATAACTGAATGTTGTGAAAGCTGATCCTAAAGCAACAAATTCGAGAGGTGTAGATAAGGTGATAATTACAATGGCTCGGAGGTCTATGTTTCAATTGGACGTCACGGCATCGTTTAATGATTGTCTTGACAAGGTTTTCACCAGCTCTGTCTGGAAGAGAACCAGGATTTCTTAAAGCACGAGCGGAGCAAAATCTGAAAAGGAAAAAGCAAAGAGGGTTTAGTCTGGCGAAGTGAGTTTCTTAGTTTTAGGTTTGTTTTGGAGATAAGATCATAAAACGAAGAGCCGTCATACAAGTTTACCGAAATGAGCTCCTCGTCCATAAAGATGAATACTAAGATAATACTCGGACAGATTTTGAGACTGGACAGCGTCAGTGGTTTCAATCCTTGCAGAATGTCTCTTTTCATCAATAATAAATGGCTACCTGCGAATAGGCGCAGATATCTAGCAAAAAAAATATCTAAGGGGTGGGGGAAAGGGTTTGCCTGGGATGGAGTAGCGCCTACTCCAGAAGGACTAATGCTTCAGAAAACACAATAATCGCCAGCCTTTCAGCTATTAATACTTAACCAGTATTGACAGATGTGCATGTTTATCGGCACAATAGGCTTTTCGTATCAGCTGAATGGGTGCAACCTTGCTCAAAGAGTCGATTACAATATCACGACAATTGAGTGAGACCGCGCAAATGACTTGAGTCTTCAAGAAAATAAAACCAACAGCGCAGCGTAGGCGTGTTAGTTCAACCAGATAAGAAAAAAATGACCCTGCAGGGTAAGGATTAAGATAGTAGGTCTCCAAAATTTTGGAGTTTTATCAAATTTATTCGTCTAAATAAAACTGCAACTCCAGCCGAAGAATCGTAAATTTATGGATCAAACAGCAGACCACAATATAGATATCGGGGTCAAACCTTTAATAATTCATAGTGAACGAAAGCAATTTATCACGTTGAGGGTCAAATACATTGCACCTACCGTCCAGTTCAAAGAGACTGTCAATATCTATACCCAGTAGTGTATCAAAATCCAGGAAGGAATCCTCGTCGAAATTATCTGAGCTTTTTGCATCCTGCAACATTTGTGTAAGGACATCAATATATTGAGCTGCAAGCCATATAACTTCTGTCTTCGTTGGCTTTTTATCTTGTGAGGAGAGTGGTAACAAACTTTTTAAAACTTCAATTTCCTCATTTAAATTCTGCACCCTCTTTCTTTCTCGGGCGTTGGCTATTCTGCGCTGTTTACTGATCCCAGTTAAACGCGGACCACGCCGCTTTCTCTTCTTTTTCTCCTCATTGAAAACCGCAGCTTCAAGCTCGTCAGCCATGGCTGTAAATGAAACCTGTTTGGAGTTATGACTTGGAATAAGTCCTTTATATAAAGCCCAGCCCGTATTGGTTTCACCTGTCCGTTTGCCGGATGCCTGAGCCTTTGAAGTGGAGTGGAACTGAGAGATAAAAACATTACTTATCACTAGCCTTACAGACATAGACCGCCCTCGGAGATGTTTATATATGAAATGACATACCCGTCGAAAAAAAATCGCATTCTTTTCAAGCAGGTTTGAAATTTTGACTAGGAGCGAGTGTTTTTTACAATCCATACCTTATACGTTTCGCGGCGGCGCTTGATACCAGGGGATATTTGAGTTGAATGGGGCTCAAAGATAAAGAAAAACTTATCACTGTCCTCACAACAATAAACGACCGAAATGTTTATTAATTAAACAAAACAGCGACCCAAAAAAAACAGTCATTGAATTTTTCTATTCTTTTTTGGAATCATCGTTATAAATTCATAAACATTATTTCGCTGATTTTTAAAATTTATTTCAAAACGATACTTTTCTTATTGAACAGACTTAATTCCTTTTAATTCGTCGTAATGATCCGCGGAACATTCAAATCTTATCAGTTATAAAAACTAACTAGTGATTTTTTTAAACAGCTTATTACATTTAAATGATAAATGCAAATGTTTATAATCTTTAGGACGCACTCGTCAGCAGAGAGAATGGAAATCAGTAGGAAAGATTGTTAAGATGACACAATTACTTTCAGTCGCATTAGGCAAATTTTATTTTCGTGACAGAAAAATCAGTTTTGAATAATGTTAGCCAACTTTTAAAACTTAATGTCTTACCTAAACCTCTTGCAATAAAATTTTGCAATGTATTAACCCGCAAGGATCTTCGACACACTGGCGGCAATCGAGCCAATATTGTGTTAATTAACACCCTTATAATAACATAGATTGGGAATGGACACTTATCTGCCCGAAAAAATATCCATTAGACTTCAGGCACAGAAGCGTTTGAAGAATACTTCCTTTTATAGGCCCTAAGGTTGTAAAAAAAAAAAAAAAAAAAACGCGGACAGTTTTGTAGCTTGCTGCGGGTCTCAGCCAGAAGGGTATAGCTTTGCCTGTAGCCTTGCATGTATCTTAAGGTGGGAAGTCCGCGTTTGATAGATGCGGCTTGGAATTATTTCAATTTAGACGCCATAAAAGGAAACAGAAAAGGGTATAGATATTTTAATGCAAAATTTGAGGGAAGCGACGGTAGTATCATGGCCGACATAATAACAATTGTTTTGGTTTTGGTCCCGGACTTTCAAACACTGATTTTAGAGTGTCGCTAGCCTCGGATTAGACGATTTTCCTTGCACTCCTTTTATAATTCTGTAGCCAATAAAGACTCGGTTCTCTTTCACCCCCGAAAATGAAATCTTCCTTGTAGGCCCGAAACGTATTTGTCACTCAAAGGATAGCACACAGGATTACGTCAGGATTTCGAGCTGGGGGAACGAATGGTGGGTGCGTAAGGGGTAGGGGGAGGGTGGGGAGAAGGGAGCCCGAGAGGCTTGACGGAGAGGGGGTAGGGAGAAGGGAACCGGAGAGGCTTGGCAATAGCCAAAAGATGACTTGTAAGTATGCACATCTTTCCAAATAAATTTCCCGGACAGCTGTCACCTCGTTGTCAATCCACGTAGTGAGTTGAAGTCTGTAAAAAAAATTAAGGAGAGTTATGATAACATGGACGTGCTCCAGTACAGTGAATGGCATTTGGAAATGTACAAATTGACAATTTGGATCCTAAAAATAACTAAATATAATTATTCATCTTCCCTGCCGGTTGAGGACATAAACCATATATTTAAGCCACCCTGTCAAGCGGTGTTGTGTTTTATTTTCGTTGTTTAGGTTTAGCTAAAAGCCTCCCGCAGGGACACCAAGCGTTCCATCTACCATCAAAGAAAGATCATTGTCTTTCCGAAAACAGATCGATTTCTCACTGAAGAATCCAAAACATTTAGTGGGCTTCAGCTGGAAGAAAAATGCCTTTTTTGTTTATCGGTTATCCTAAGGATTTATGGAAAGTCCTCACTAGCTACTCACACTAAAGTCCAAGCCGAGAGAAGGTAGTTCCGATAAGACGGGCCGGTCACTGCATTTGGAAGTGACTGGTTAGCAGTGGTCCTATGGGACATGACTCGTGTTTTACAAATTCAATTAACCATTTTAGTAGTGTATCTATCAGAGTTAGACCACTTTAAGACCTGTCCGCTACTTATGATGGCTACACGTGCCGGGCATGCCGACAAAGTTTTAAACATTGACTTTGATGAATAACAACTTTTAAAAAAGGTAACCCTTTATGGTGTAACTACTACACCCTATTGATTGGTAACTATCACGTTCACCCGTTCATTTGCAATAAAAACGGAAGAAAAGAGTCAGTTCTCAATTCTTGTTGATGCGGTTGACTCGAGTAGACAAGCTTTAAATTATCTACTTTCGTAAAAATTCTCGTTGGACCTCCTACGGCGAGATTGTTATAATCCAAGTTTCGATCTAAAGCTGGGTTCTTAGTTGACGTGATTTATGAAGAACAAAGCTAACACAAACAACTTATAAAAATATTCGATATAAGAATATAGGTTGAGCGTAGGATAAAATTCTCATATTTAGTTAGCCAACACCTCAAATGCATATTTAACTATACAAACCTACGTTTGAATTGTTCTTTTGTTTCTTAAGGTAAACATTTTTGCTTGAAAGATTCATAACAACCAAATACCTTATAAGCATGTGTTAATTTTAAAGTTTTAGATTAGTTGATGGTTGGCTAAAGGAATGACCTGTGATCTGTAAACTTCGCGGTAGTCTACTCAAAACACGATCACTAAAAACATCAGAAAAAAAAGTCGGCGGTGCGTCAGTGTGTCAGCAAAAGTTCCTGAAAATAATGAAATATGCCTCCTTCAACTGTAGAGCGATGCACGGACAAAGAAGACTCACTCCAAAATTGCAAACGAAAGAAGCGACGCGCTCCAAGATTAACTGGGGTTAGCAAACAGCGAAGAAAAGCAAATGCGCGGGAAAGAGATCGAGTAAACATCCTGAATAACTATATTCAAATTCTACGAACTTTAATTCCTCAAACACAGAACAATTACAGGGTTACCAAGTTTGATGTCATAGTGGGTGCTACTTTGTACATCTCGCAGCTTTCATCCATCTTGAAGGAACAAGGAGTTTTGGTTGGCAAACGGATCGAAGACGTTCAAGACCCTAAAACTGAGTTATCAGCTCTGCAAGAAACGGAAACCTGAACACCTCTTTAAGACCTCAAAGTTTACAAACTGTGATTAACTCCAAATTAAGCCGAGATTTTGAATTGCAAAAGTTCAAATGTTAGTAATCTTAGATAACCAGTTATTGTTTTTATCTAGAAGATAAAATAACGCGTTTTACTGGACTTAAAATTACAACTTAGAGCGGTTCAGCTTCTGACGGAATTTCGTTTAAGCCTTGTTCCACTTTTGTTTTGCTGTTTACCGACTTCTTAACAGCAAGAGTCAACAATTTGTAATAGCCTCGATACAGTGCATTCAAAGCCTCTTTTCTAAGCTAGGCACAACAATGTTGTATCACCGAGAGATGAAAATAAACTCAGTACAGTTCTCATACCCATCTACTTTTTGTGTGTTGAGTTTCTTTTGAATTCTTTGACTTTTACAAAACTTAAGACATGTTTGAATGATTTACCAAAATACAACTGATAAGAGTGAAAGCAATCATCGATGAAAAGATTCTTTTCAAACAACAATGTTTCCCTCAGGCGAGAGGCGATGTCTATTTTCATTCATTTTTATTCATACATCAGAAAAGTATGTACCAGCTAAGAAAGGCAGTTTTTATGAATATTGCTGACGATTACCAAGTTTTTGCTCCTATTTCTTCTGAGAAATCTGATGCGAAACTATTCATTTAAATTTTTCAGCAATTATACTTTATCTTTTCAATTTTGGAGCAGATTAAAATGGTTCCTTCGGCTTCTTTCAAAATCAGCCAAACGTAAAACCCTATCACAGATAAGCCACAATTTGAGCCATAACTTATACTTAAATTATTAGTTGTTATTCAAGTAATAATCTTCGTCCTTGACCCGGTCTAAGACAGGAATTTATGACTTTTTCCGTCCTCAACCAAAATCTGAGAAAGATAACGGATTAAGGAACGCAAATATACAGTTACACATTAGACCGGAATGTGTTTTGAGAGAGTTTGAAATTCTTTACCCCCCAGTTTAGTTTTTGACAAATTACCCGCTGAGAGAATAAACTCGAGCAATGCATATTTTTGCAGAAGTTGTTTCGATCCGTTTAACGAACAAGGACTAATAAGAAGAGATTTAAATTTGAGCTTTCACGGGGCAGAGGTTTTAAAACAGTTAACACAGATACCAAAGGTGAGAAGAGTATGCATTTGATTTGCCGAAATGTTGCTCTAATAGTGATTAACCTCTAAGTCATTCGCCGTTAAATTGTATGTTGTTTTGCTGGCACGTGCAGTACAAATCGTTTTGACTTAGTGCGTGTGCTTTAGCAATCAAGATTTCAGATCAAATAGGCAATATATGTAATCTGATAAGCCATCAGTTTTTGCACATCCCGAATATATTTTTGCCAAGTAAATTTCGCAGCCTTCGCCCAAAATATTTTAAACCAAAGGTCGCATTCATATTCTCTTAATATTCAGTTCAGGTAAGACAGGGTACAAATATTTGTATGTTACGATTTCTAAGTGACATCTCATCTTTTATTTGACTGATATTCATAACTTGCTGTAAGTTTACAGACCAAGTAATCTCGTTCTCTGCTACAATTAGAGATACTATCAAAATGCACATCGGTAACTTCTTTGTTCATAAAAGCAACTTGGCCTAGAGATGGCCGCAATTACCAAAGTTATTGTTCGGGACAATAGCTTATTGCGGTAGGTACTGAATAACACGTTTGCCCCCCAAAGTTAATAACTGAGATACCTCGGCCGGATGAGATGAAATAACTAATGTATATCGCGAATCGCTGTTGCGACATTGTTATAGTACAAAACTCTGTATTGTTTTCTTTTTGAGTGGAAAGCAGTGTATGTACTTTTACATTTAGTTGATTTCACTACAGAAAGGAGCAATTACGTTTGGCTGTTTCCAGATGGATAACTCTCGAAAACCTGTCGATAGTCTGGCGAAACCTACCGAGCAATGCCGACAAATTAAAAAAAAAACCGACAAATGGAAATCTACGATCGAAAAGCGCCGAGACAAACTCTAACAACTCTTCCTAATTAATTCTATTTATGATATGATTAGGATTAAAGTTGCAAGCAGAGCTTGCTATTGAGCAATTGCGGTTATGGAGGTTTTATTCCATTCGATGCGGTTATCCGGTTCCTAAGAAATTCGAATTAACGTTACCGACTGAGAAACACAGTTCTTAACATAAACTTTCTCGCAAAACGTACAGATAATCAAAAATTTCTTAATATTCGATTTTTGTTGGGTGCACTTAGTGTTGACATAGCATGTTGTAGGGTAAAGTAAGCTTTTTTTCCTTGAAATTGTTTGAGTTGGTACAAAATTAGATTTCTCACGGCAAATATTTCATTCACAAGCAAATACAACAGGGCTGTTTTATCAACAATGAAAAGAATAACTTGTGACTGATAACTATGGGGTCCTGTCGAGAGCATTTAACTGAAATGATTTTGTACAAACAGGGCTTAAAGATGGTGAATTCACTGGCAAGTGTTGGGGTCATGCACTCATCTGTGTGTAGCAGTTACAAGTTTGATTCACCGGCTTCAGTGCCTTCGTCGCCAGCTCAAGCAAAGAAAAAGCACAAGAGACGGGGACCAAGACTTACAGGAGTCAGTAAACAAAGAAAGACAGCAAACGCAAGAGAGAGGAATAGAGTACAAGCTATCAACTGCGCCTTTGAGACTTTACGCGATTTAATACCTCTACTTCCAACAGAGAAACGGCCATCTAAGATAGAAACAGTACGACTGGCTGCACTTTATATTCATCATCTCACAGAACTGTTGAAAAACAATCGACAATGTGAGTCGACTTTAACGAAGCCTCAAGGAAAAAGCGACGCGTACTTAGTTACAGTGAAAGAGGAAAGTTCTTCTGATTCAGATTTTTGAAACTAAAATTTGACATACAGTAAACTTGCTGCGATCTAAAATTTTCTTCAGTCTTGAAGAGTTTAAGTAAGACAACAACAGTGACGACAATTTCATTTGTCCTCAATTTTACCTTTCCATAATGGAAACATTCTAAACCACGCTACTGTGGAATGTAAGGGTATTCTGCATTCTATGCAGATAATAGCGGATGCGCGAACCTCTGCGAAGATAATCAGACCCTTAGGCGTGCAGGTTTTTCAGTTAAAACAGGTTCATTTAGAATGAAAAGAAACTGAGCTGTTTATAGACAGCATATATATATTAAAAGAGTTGTACCGAACTCTGACTTCAGTTAGTTGTGTGTTCCCATTTTTCCTTGCGTCACAAAACAAGTGACCCTCCCTCAGTTTACTCATTATTGAGTAGTGCCACTTCCTTGTATAGTCATAAACTGAGAGTTATAATGTTACCTCTATCTTCTAAAGAGTAACATTATAACTCTAAAGAGTTATAATGTTACCTTTATGTTTTATGTCTCAAGATTCATTTTTCTCCATGGTTTTAAAAATCTTGCCGGGTCAGCATGCCTTACTAAATAGCTCTAAAGGTCAGGGTTCAGGCCTAGGAGAGGTCATTTTGTTGTATTCTTAAGCTAACAATGCCTGATTCCACCCCAACATGATCCGTGTAAAGAGACAGATCAACAAACTGAAAGGGAAACCCGAGGAAATACTGGATTGGTTTCCTGCAATGCACTGTATCCTAACCAAGAAGAGACGAAATACCTTTGGTTGCTAATGCTACGGAAAGAGGGATATGCTTCCAATACTTCCAAAGAATAAGGCACATGGCTGGTAATCAGACCTGCCTATCCAGTTGTTGTTTTAGAGCCAAACTCCTTTACACCTCTTAACTAGGAAAACGGCCCACAGAGCTATCTCGAAAAACCACGGATAACAGAGAAGGGAAAACAATAAAAGCAAATCAAAGGACTGTTCAACTCCTACGCCTCTGAGACTTTTATGATAAGAGAAAAATAATAAATAGTGGTTAATGACCACACCCCTAGTAATTCAGATTTCAGCACTTTGCTATCCTCTGTATCCTGACTCAATTCAGTCGTTACCACTGGTAACAATATCCATCACGATATCTAATATTCGTGATACTTTGACTTTATTTTACATATATACACTACAGAAATTATTTGATTAATTGGAACGGACTAAATGTGTTGGGAGTTTAATTACGGAATGAACAATATCCCCGCATTGTGTTGATTAAACTTTTGAACCAGAACTTTTCTCGGAATTCACAACCTTCCATGCCAGAGAAAAGGATGATATTACAAACGAACTATAGAGACAAAGCCTGTCGTCTTTGTTTTATTAGGTTCCCATTCCTCTTCTGGCAAGGTTCCCATGGCATGGTATGGCGTGGGTTGCTTGCTTTAAATCTACTTGTGGAGTTGACATAGATTCCCGAATTCTTCGAGTTAAAATTTCGCTTATCCTGAAATCTTCAGTGGAAAAATTACTATATGCTTCCCAAATTAAACTTGCCAATGAAATGGGAATAAAGGAAGTGAAGAGATACTTTCTATTTCTCAAAGTTGGTCTTGAAATCGGTGAGAGAGCACTATCGCACAGAGCGAAAAACCTTTATCAAAAAGTTGATCATGTTTTGCATGTAGCTACAGTTTCCAGGGGTCAGGAACGTAAACGTTCTTGTTTCTCATTCACCATTAAACGAACCCATTTTTCTTCTGTACTGCTGTGTCCCAAAAATTCTGGATGAAGATGTTGCATCCGTAAACGGTTAAATCACTACATTGTCCGCTTCACTTTAGTAGAATATTTTCTCTTGGGTGAAACCTGAAATCGTTTCGTGATCGTCATTTCGACTTTCCATCATTGATACCCGAGTTGCCTGATCTAAAAACAGTCTGTTATACTTCATAGGCGGTATTACTCGCCGACAAAGACGGTTTTCGTTTTGATAAAACAGTTTTTACAGCAAAATTAGGCAGTGAATGAAAAGGTCATTATAAACAACGGTTAGTAACGGGAGAATGGAAATCTTAGTAAAGTCGGTTTATCTCAAGAAAACTCATATGGTTCGTCAGCCTACGTGAGCATATTACAAAATGTGTTCACTTTTTCATGTGTTCCATCAATCTTTGTTTTTTTTTTTGTTGTTTGCTGAACTTCCATTACAGCTTGAAAAATTGGTTTGCGTCCCAGGAGACAAGCAAAGGAAATTGTGAGTGAACTTTTAATTGCTACGTGTACGCTTGAAAACTCCGGTCCATCATAGAAGAGAAACAGTTTGTGCGTGGTTTAGCTTGCAAATTTTGTGTTCTCGACTTTTCACGTTTTATCTTAGTCTTCACATCTTAAATACTGAGAAAACTGACGGCTGTTGTGATCATCAAGGAAGAAATTCCGATGGATTTATCGACGCTTGTTATCGCACTTCTATAGCTTAGCGAATTCAAATCATCACTACATACTTTTACACTTGTGTGGGCAAAGATTGAAACAACACGATATATTCCGACTTATTCGTTTATTTATGTAGACTGTTGTCCAATTTGTACTTTATGACTCAATTATATAAATCCGGAGAAACGTTGGCTGATTTTCGAGTTCCCGGCTATCATAAAATGATATTGAGCTAAAAAGGGCGCTTGAAGTCTGTGATTAAACAACTGAAACAACTTGTCAACGCTGGTCTGGTATATATTCTCAATAAGGCCGCCCGATAAATTCCGTCCTTTTTGACCAGTAATAGATCCACCGCGTGTTAAAAATACTTTTATTTACGAACATAATCCTTCTTAACTTCTTACAAGACGATTGTTGGAGAAATAAAAATACCAAAGGAATTATCTCTTTCAGTCGGAAACCAAAACAAGTCAAGTTTGTTTGGTATCACATGAAATACCAATTTGTTTTCTCATCGGTTTAACTCCCAATGAAAATACATTGTGCGGGTTTTATGTTATCATCAAGAGCAACCGCCTATTTGACTAAACTTAACCTAGATTTCCTTTTATTTAAGGACTCTTGAATTTGGGTGATCCAAGATCAGTGGGATTCTTGACGTTCTTGACCTCGAGGCGATTTTTAAAACTTGCGTCAGTTCCTTTTGTGATCTGAAGTTTATAAGATAGACAGTTTTCCTATTTTTTAACGTCAGTGAAGTATCTTCATTTACGTGTTTGTTATGACTCGATGTCTGAACTACCATGAAGAAATGTGCCATTAGCGTAATGATGATTAAATTGTCTGTTTTACACGGACATCAACGGGTTGAACACAGAATCTTGTGATGAAAAATTTAAATACTAATCCAGCGAAAATCAGTTTTCGTCTAAAGATCCCTCTGAGTCTGTAAAATAGGATAGAAACAGCATTATAAAAAAAACTTCAAAACTAGGAGTTGTACAATACGACAAAGTACAATTTTTAGAGGTGTTTTCATAACACGAAGACAATAACAAAAATTTGGTGAATTATTTATTTACCTGTGAGAAATAAAAGTTCATAAGCGTCCAGATTCAGCTCTGATACTGCGGAGCAATCATTAAGGCCAAAAATGTCGGACACTGTAGAATAAAAATACGCGAAAATATTAGATAAAATTTTTATCACAACACTTCAACGTGAAGGCATAAGAAAAAATTTTACAAACACCACTAACCTGCCATATCTACAAACGTTAGGTCCAAACTTTGACGAATTTCATCAGAGTCATCGCATGTATTTTCAACAGTATTGTCGGTTTTCAGTTTTTCTAACAGGTCAGTGAGAAATTTGATATAAGTTGCTGCCATCCAAATGACTTCAGTCTTGGTTGGTCGTTTCTCAAATGGCGAGAGTGGAATTAACTCCCGAAGGTTTTCAATATGTGAATTTAAAGCGTGTACTCTTCGTCTCTCTCTTTCATTTGCCATTTTTCGTTGTTTGCTGACTCCCGTCAATCGAGGTGGTCGCCGTTTCGTCTTCTTCTTGGCATTTTTATCAGCCTTCGAGTCTTTACCTTCGATTTCTTTTTTACCCATTTCAACTTAACGTGACTGTTTGATGTAAGTGGAGATGCTGTTGCGGAGATGTTCGCTGTCTCATGGAATGCGCGATATAAACAAATGCAAACAAAATACAACCCAATACAAGTCAAATACAAACAATCTCCTCCCACTTTTGAAGTGATCAGCTAGATCCAGTTACACCATAGTTACACCTCCGCAGTATCAGTCCATGAAGAAATTAATTCTTAGACACGACAAACTGCAAATCACTTGACCTTTACTCACAAAAAACGTTTCCAAGTCATCAATACAGCAATCTCTATTTTTAACGTAAAGAGCGTCAGGAAGGAAAGTTATTGACGGATACTTCAAACAGTTGTAAGGGTTAATTTCAGCTTATCGGCCAGCGATTTGGTTAAAGAGAGGTCATTTGGTATGAAATATATTTACGAGAGAAAATGACCTCTATTGTGCAACAAATCACCCTGATTTACTATATATTGCCATGATGACAAGGGCAACAATAAGAATATTGAGTCTTGCGGATGTCACCGCCGGAAACAGTTCTTCCCACTTAATTTTCTCAATCATTATTTCATCGAGGCTTACGCCTCACTACGGACTTCACAAGTACAGACATGGAAAATGCCGCTGGGGTTAATTAATTGTTTCCCTGAAAAAACTACTGCTTGTTTCTATTTCAAGCCCATTTTCCAATAACTCTTAGGAACTTGTCGTGTCATATGCATTTGCAGATAGCGTGTGGTACGACCAAATGTGACTCTGTTTTAGGATTATCTTCAGTAATTCCGGATACTTTTCAGTCTAAACCTGCAGCATGTGTTTGCCAAAAACGCTGCTCATTTTGACCACCGCAAGGTAATTATTTTAATCTGTTTCTCCTAAAAAAAGAGGGGCATTGGCTCATTCTAGAATGAATTCAGCGGAACAGAAGAGTTGGTGTGCTAGACACGACAAACACAAATTAAAACCAGCTGAGAATTATATTACTTTGCGGTAAAAAAGTTAATTGTATAATGGAAACTTAAACATTTCAAATGGGCACATGCAATAGACCACTTATCCACAGGAAACTCCCACTAGAAAGTGGCTTTTTAAGTATGAGCTTAGGTTAAAAAAACGTAAGTAGAACAGAGTCCTCATTTCACTTAACATTCTAGCTAAATACTTTAGTATGATATCGTAAATGCAATAAATGGTATTTCCTCGTGCTTCACCAGGAATCCACTCGGAAGAGAAT